TATTTTGTTTATGTGTTCGTGATCATAAATAAAATAACGGCCACAAATTAGAGAAATGTTATAAATTGCAGCCTGTGACCACTATTTTTAACCGTGATTCGAACTTATATTACACATATATATGATTTTTATCCGATTCGGATAAACGCCGGTGTGGTGTTGGTATCAAGTCTGCATGTTTTTTCCATTTAATTTTTTATTCAAAATTTTAAGTAATTTATTTAATATATATATATATATATATATATATATATAGTTAAAATAAAACTTAATATAAAAATAAGGTAAAAATTAAAAATTAAATCGTTTGATCAAAAAATAGGGACGTGATTCCGATTATACAAATCAAATAAAAAATAGGTTACAAAATTAAAGTAGGGAGAGAAATTATGTTTAAGGAATCAATCCTTTTTTTGTGACGGTAGTTTAAAAGGGTATAAAAGGAAAATCATATACATATTAAGTGAATGGACAAAAAGTGGAAGTGGATTTATGATAGTGATCAATTTGAGATGATCAATCTCCTGAGAATCAAAGAAGAAGAGAGCAATCTGAAGCAAGTTTTCTGATATTTTCTCTTCCTAACAATTACAATCTCTAAATACTAGTGAAACAAGAAAATGCACATAAAAACTAGGAATTGTTGAAAACATGATACTGACTAACGAAAGTGGAAGCTAACTTAAAGGAACTGCAGCTGACTTCTAGGAAGTGGGAGACTTCGTAGCTAACCAATTGGCCTGGTAATTCTTCACATTTTAATCCATGAGGCGCAGGGGCTTTTTGGTAATTCTCTTGGGCCTTGATTGGTTTGTTGGATCTTTCTTTTGGGCTGCTTCTTGGGTCGAGTTCTGCTGGATTGTATCATTGCCCTCCTCTTTGAAATTGGGCTCGTCCTCGAGTCCAGTGGTGAAAGTGGGGAAATGTAGTTTGAATTCTTCGGCATCTTCCCATGTTGATTCTGATATGTCTGTGTGAAGCCATTGGACTAAGAATTGCAGCTGGTTGTTGTCAGTAAAGCGGTGTTGCAGAATGGTTTGCGGTACTGGAAGTGGAATGTCAGTAACACAGTTAGTTGGGAGGTCGTCTGAAGCTGGTTGACCATGGCTTTGTTTAAGTAGGGAGACATGGAAGACCGGGTGGATGCGGGATGTTGATGGTAGTTCCAAGCGATATGCTACGGGTCCAATACGCTCCAATATTTTAAATGAACCAAAAAAACGTTTGGAGAGCTTGTGAGATTCCCGTGTCTCAACTGATTGTTGGCGGTAGTTTTGGAGGCGGAGATATACGAGATCACCCACTTGAAAGTGTTTTTCTTGCCTTTTCTTGTTAGCTTGTTTAGCCATACGAGCACGGGTTTGCTCGAGTGCTAGTTTCAACATGTCAATAATTCGTTGGTGCTCGATGAGAGTAGTATCGATGGAAGCTGTGAGATTGGAGCCTGGTTGGTAGTCGTGTATGGCACTAACATCTCTCCCGTACATCGCCTTGAATGGGGTCATTTTGATGGATGAGTGGAAGCTAGTATTGTACCAAAACTCAGCAAGATATAAATATCGATACCATGAGCGTGGTTCATCACTCACGAATGCTCGTAGATAGGACTCAAGGCAACGATTTACGACCTCGGTTTGACCGTCGGTTTGTGGGTGATAAACACTTGAATGACGGAGCTTGGTACCAAGTTGTTTGAAGATTTGGGTCCAGAAGTGACTGAGAAACAGTGGTTCACGGTCAGATATTATTGTTTTTAGAAGGCCATGAAGTCGATATACTTCTCGTAGGAAAAGATTGGCAAGAAGGGCAACGGTAAAGTGAGTCGGTAGGGCTATGAAGTGGGCAAATTTTGTGAGACGATCCACCAGGACCCATATGGTTGTTTTGCTGTTTGAGGGTGGAAGATGAGTGATAAAGTCCATGGTTATGTCATGCCAAGGCTTGGCTGGAACCAGAAGGGGCTGAAGAAGACCGTACGGCTTGTTGGTTGCATATTTTGTGGTTTGACAGATGGAGCATTTGTGAATGTATTCCGTAACATCATGTTTGAGCTTTGTCCATGAGAAGGAAGCGGCGAGTCATCATACTGTAGCATGAATATATGCGTGACCTCCAAGAGGTGATGTATGAAATTCCTGCAAAAGGAGAAGTCGAATATGTGGAATGTTAGGAATAAGTAACCGACTTTGGACATAAACCAAGCTGTTGTGGTGTGTATGGTGAGGAAGTGAAATGGGGTCTTGCTCCAGTTGGTTCATCAATCTCTGTCCTTCGGGGTGGGTAAGAAAATAGGTTCTTAATTCTTCAAGCCAAGTCGCAGTAGGTCCTGATATAGCAAACATGTTTGGTATTTTAATGCGGCTAAGGGCGTCTGCAACCTTGTTATCTTTTCCAGGTTTGTAATGCAGTTCAAAGTCGTAACCTAAAAGTTTAGCCAACCACTTATGTTGTTCCGGAGTTTGGATGGTTTGTGTAAGGAGATGTTTCAGGCTATGGTGGTCGGTAAAGACCCGAAACTTGCGGCCAAGAAGGTATTGGCGCCATTTCTTGACGGATTCATATATAGCATAAAGTTCCCGGATGTAGGTGGAGTTTCCTTGCATTCGGTTGCATAGCTTTTTGCTTAAAAAAGAAATTGGATTATCATTTTGAGAGAGGACTGCACCGATAGCAACACCCGAGGCATCGGTGGTGACATCGAAGGGTTCGTTGAAGTTGGGAAGAGCAAGGGTGAGGAGGGATTTCATAGCAGTTTTGAGGTTTGCAAAAGCTATGTTGGCATCTTTATTCCAGGTGAAAGTGGCTTGCTTTAGTAATTCTGTCAGGCTAGAAGCTATGTGGGCATAATTTTTGACAAATCGCCTGTAATATCCCGTAAGGCCCAGGAAAGCTCGGAGGGTGGTAAAAGAGGTGGGCTTGGGCCAAGCTTGTATGGTTGCTATCTTGTCTGGGTCGGCGTTTACCCCTCTGGCAGAAATAATGTTGCCCAAAAATGGTATCTCTGTGACAACGAATAGGCATTTAGTGGGTTTTGCAAGGTATTGGTTTTCGAGAAGGGTATTGAACACGAATTTAAGATGGTGACAGTGAGTCTCGAGCGAAGGGCTGTAAACCAAAATGTCGTCGAAGAAAACGAGGACAAATTTATGAAGAACGGTACGGAATAGGTCGTTCATGGCCGACTGGAAGGTAGAGGGGGCGTTAGTGAGGCCGAAGGGCATCACACGAAATTCGTAGTGACCATCAATCGTGCGAAAAGCAGTTTTATGGATGTCGTCGGGAAAGGCTCGGATTTGGTGATATCCAGCTCTTAGATTAATTTTTGAGAATACTGTAGCACCGTGAAGTTCATCGAGAAGTTCATCGACGATTGGAATGGGAAACTGATCTCGAACAGTGGCTGCGTTTAGGGCCCGATAATCAATGCAAAATCGCCACGCGCCATCCCTTTTTTTACAAGTAACACCGGGGAGGAGTAGGGGCTTTGGCTTGGCTGAATGACTCCATCTTTTTAACATTTATGTAATTAAGGATGTCATTATTTCTTTTTGATATTGTGGGTAACGGTATGGCTTGATGTTGATGGGTGTAGTATTTGGGAGTAGCGGAATGTGATGGTCATGGGGTCAGTGTGGTGGTAGTCCTTGAGGTGGTTCAAAGAGAGGTTGATAAGTAGCTATTAATTCTGCAATTTTGGGGTTGGGGTGAGGGTCTGGTTTGGTTGTGTGTTAGGTAGGTGGTTCGTGGTGAAAGATCATGGTATGAAGTGATGCGATGGAGTCTTTGCGAATGAGGGTGTGTAGAGTACTTGGTGAAACTGGTGTTGTTAAAGGTTCACCCCGGAGTGTGCATTTCTTGTTGTTGATGTTAAAGGATATTTGCGGTATGGAAAAGTCAGCAACTAAAGGTCCAAGTGAGCTGAGCCAGGCAACGCCAAGTATGATGTCTGCACCTGCAACTGGAAGGATAAAAAGAGGAATAGTAAAGGTAGTTTTGTTCAGTTCCAGTGGAACATCCAGAAGGAAGCCTTTGCATTCAATGTGTTGTCCATTACCAACCATTACTGTAAAGGGTGTAAGAGAGGTGGGTTCGATGCTAAGTAGTGTCTCAATTCGGGGTTGGATGATGTTATGTGTACTCCCACAATCAATGAGGGTGGTTACCGGGTGACCTTGGAGATGGTCGATGATGCGTAGTGTTTGGGGTGAGTGGAGACCAAAAAAAGCAGCGTTAGAGAGGGAAAGAAAATGTGGGGGTTGTAGTGTTTTTCTAGTGATGGTATCATTACTACTAGTGTCAAATGGGTATTCTAGGGTTGCTGGACAATCTTCGTTGTCTGTAATCAAGAGAAATTGGGGTGGGTTACACTTATGCCCAGGATAAAATTTTTCTAGGCAGCGGAAGCATAAACCCTCACTACGTCTTTTTTGGAATGCTTCGGGGGACAAACGGGTAAAAGAAAGAGGTGTGCTTGGTTTTTTTGGGGCTGGTAACAAGGCTGTGGCTTTTGGTGTTGGGAGGAGGCAGCGGCGGCGGTGGGGGTGGTAGTGATGGTGGTGGTGGCGGCTGATTGAGATGTTGGTTGGTGATGAGATTGATGAGAGTATCGAGTCGGGTATTGGTGGCGGTGGTAAGGTGCAGGAGGGCTTGCAGGTGGTCGTTTGTGGAGAGGGGTTCCTCAGGTTTGGTTTCTATTTTGAGAGGCATAGCAAGGTCAATGAAAGCACCAATTGATAGTGATCAATTTGAGATGATCAATCTCTTGAGAATCAAAGAAGAAGAGAGCAATCTAGAGCAAGTTTTCTGATATTTTCTTCCCAACAATTACAATATCTACATACTAGTGAAACAAGAAAACGCAGCTAAAACTAGGAATTATTGAAAACATGATACTGACTAACGAAAGTGGAAGCTAACTTAAAGGAACTGCAGCTGACTTCTAGGAAGTGGGAGACTTCGTAGCTAACCAATTGAACTGGTAATTCTTCACGTTTTAATCCATGAGGCGCAGGGGCTATTTGGTAATTCTCTTGGGCCTTGATTGGTTTGTTGGATCTTTCTTTTGGGCTGCTTCTTGGGTTGGGTTATGTTGGATCCAAGCAGGTATGTTTCTTTATTGATTGAACTGTTTATATTGATCCATTATCATTTCTCAATGTTGTTAAATCTTTTGAGAATTTTGTTTTGATATGATCAGGAGATTATGATTCTTCCAGTTGCGTCACAGAGATTTGAGGAGGCAATGCAAATGGGATCTGAAACATATCATCATTTGAAGGTGAGTTTCTCATCATACCAATCCATTGTGTCATTCTCATTTTATATTCTTTTTGAAAAATTGTTTATCTGTTGAATTCAATGCAGGCTGTTATTGCAAAGGAATATGGTGCACATGGATGTAATGTTGGTGAAGATGGTGGCATTGCTCATGATATCACCAGGCATGTCTAATGTCTTCTGATTAATATGTTGTGATCTTTTTACCTCAATTTATGATTTTGGTATTCTATTTTTGCAGCTTTAGAGAAGGACTAGATCTTGTAATGGAGGCAATTGGTAGAACAGGGTATATTGATAAACTAAAGATTGCAGTTGACATTGTTGCCACTGATTTTTGCATACCGCAATATTACAAATCTATAACTCTTTTAACTATAGTTTTTGAAAAAAAAAACTTGACATCTATATTACTATTGATTTTAGGTTCAAAGTATGGCTTAGATTTCAAATATCCGCGAAGGTCGGGACAAAACTTTAAATCAGGAGAAGATATGATTGAGATTTATAAGGAACTATGTAGAGGTATATGAACATGTTGTCATGTTTTATGAGACAATGATTCATTATATTTGACTTATTTTTGGTTTTTAGACTATCCTATTGTGTCTATAGAGGATCCATTTGACAAGGAGGATTGGGAACAAGTGAAGTATTTTTCAGGGCTTGGAATTTTCCAGGTTTGTTTATGAATCCTTATTATGGCTGTTTTGGAGTATGTTTTTGGAAAGAATTTGGATTATGGAGGAATTGTATTCTGTCACACATTTGGTTGGAAGGAAACTGAATTTAACAATAAAAGTTGGTTAACTTTCTAAAATTTTCACTTTCATTTTAGTTTAAAGTAAATTACATTTTGGTTTTTGAGTGTAGTTGATTTTTACAATTTTGGTCATTATTTGAGGTTCTTGTAATGTTTTGGTCCCTGTTCCAAGTAAGAATGACTACTATTTGTCCTAAAAATAGTCATTTTACTTGGAATAGGGATCAAAAGTATTATGAAAACCTCAATACGCACCAAATTTGCAAGAAGAAACTTTTCAAAACAAAAATTGAAAGAAAAAAATCAGCTATAATCGATGACAAGTTATAGTGAGGAAGAATGTAATTGAATTCCTCCCTCGGCCTTAGGAATGGTGAAATCCATCAAACACAAATTTGATGAAAATTAATTGTTTCCATTTGGCAACCAAACACACCCTTGAGTGGAATCTTGAATTCTAATTCTGTTGGAATCCACGAACCAAACACGCCCTAAATCTCTTACATGACTATTATTTTATATACAGGTTGTTGGAGATGACTTGTTGATGTCAAATTCCAAAATGTGTCGAAAGAGCCATCGATGGACATGCTTGCAATGCACTTCTTCTCAAGGTAAAGAATCAATAAAATAAAACAAACCTGATAGAGTATTAGTCAAATACTAAAAGTAGTAAAAACACATCTCAACAAGGACAAAATGGAAAATGTTGTATACAAAAATGAATGTTAAGAATAATTTGTAAACAAAACATGCAGGTGAACCAAATTGGGAGTGTGACAGAAGCCATTGAAGTTGTGAAGATGGCAAAAGATGGTAATTGGGGTGTGGTAATATCACAAAGAAGTGGAAGAAACTGATGATTCTTTTTTAGCCGATTTATCATTGGGTCTTGGCACGGGTCAGATAAAAGCTTTATCAGGCGCACCTTGTAGAGGTGAGCGCTTAGCCAAGTACAATCAGGTTTGCTTTTTTTTCATTCTGTCCAAATTAACACTCATGTAGTCACGTATAGCTGTCAAGATTAAGTGCTTCACACATTGAGTAAAAACGAAACAAGCACTTAGTCTAGAGTCCAGAGTCCAGAATATTAGGAGGATATGTGGGGTTTAATAATAATCTCAAGTTTTGTGAAGTTAATTAGAATTGAAGAAGAGATTGGGGATCAAGCAAGAATTCAAATGATTAAACATATAAAAGTAATATATTTTTTTTTATGTTCTGTTGATATTTAATGTGTTATAGATTCAAATGATTAAACATATAAAGTGGCAGGGACGAAGGGTAAGAAGGATAGCAGTTCACCAAAAGAGAAAGAAAAGTAGTCTTCCTGTTGTTTTGTAATTAGGTTGTCGTGGATTACTTCTATAGTTCAATATTCCCATATTTGTACTGATAGAAGGGAGTGATAATGAAATTTACTGACTTTTTGTGTCTTTGAATACGGTTAGAAACTTCTCATTCATCTTCATTATTGATAGGAGCAACGTTTACAGGGCAGATAGTAATTAGTTTTCAATACATGAAGTTGCTGCTACAAGTTATGGTTATTTGTCATTGATGAAAAAAATGATATATCTTGATCATTCTCTGGTTTATATATGCATGGTAGCTGATCCAGTATTGTCTTTATTCCCTTTATGTAGCCATAGATGATGATTTTTTGTTTATATAAACTAAATATATTACATCAGAATTCAGGTAAGTTGTGTTTGCAGGAAGGTAATGAGGGCACTGGGGGTATTGGGATTGGAAGCTTACTTAGATGGGGAAGGGACCTATTTACAAATTTTATTAACATTTTTGCATTTGATTTCCTCAGCTTAAAAGGGGGATGTATAGGTAACCATAAATCTGTCATGTCTTCAGAAAAGTGTAATTATGGATTTTTTTTCTTTTTTTTTGCAAAACTCTCATTCTTTAAATTGGTTTTCTTATCTGTAAATTGATGTTTCAATGTGCCTTTATTTTTATGTCAGAAAATGAGTCTTTTTTATTGTTGGATAAAATTGCATACAAGTTGTTAAACAATTGTCAAAGAGAGGGTATAAAGGCGAATCCATACAAGTGCAGATGAATCAAACTAGGGCACTTTGATAAACAAATAAATACTATAAAATCAACAACATTATACTTACATTTTTCTTCAGGTTGCAATATTACACTATAAAAAGTACAATGTGGTAATAAAAAAAAATCAAACTGGGCACTTTAATAAACAAATAAATAGATATGGTGAAATGCCATTGTTATTTGTTAATTTTTTTAAAAAAAATTCATATATGTCAAGCATTAAGTTGTATTGCAATTTATTCTTCTTATTAAAAAATGTCTGCCAAAAATGATGTTTTAAAAACAGTACACTGATCAACACGTCAAATAAATCTAATTGAGCATTTTCAGATTTTTAGATTTGTTATTTGTGACTTAAAAACGATTTAGTAATTATATTAAATTGTTTATTTTTAGGGATATTTATTGCAAATAAAATAGTATAAAAAATTATTGAAAGTACATTGCTATATTTATATGTAGGAGACTTAATCTGATTATAAATAAGACAATGGATCACCATGTATGACTATATTTGTTTTCCAGTCTATTAAATTGTATATTTAATTTTATAACATGATGATTTTATTATTAATCATGCGTTAAAGAACATTGTTGATGTTTTCAAACCATTTTACATATTAATTAAAAATAAGGATGATATACTCTGCTGGACAGAACATCCAATGTTGTATAAAAATAATTATTAGCACATTTATGATTAATTACATTTTTATAGTCTATGTGTTGTTTTAGCACATTTATGATTAATTATATTTTTATAGTCTATGTGTTGTTTTAGTTTGTAAAACGAATCATTTCACGACCAGAAACTATTACATCCAATGTTGTGTTATAAGAACTATTACATCCAATGTTGTGTTATAAGAACTTTTCAGAAATTTATGATTTTTAATTATCATTTTTGTTATTTTTGTATAATATTGTTTTATTATTTTAAAGAAACTATTACATTCAATGTTGTGTTATAAGAAATTTTCAGAAATTTATGATTTTTAATTATCTTTTTTGTTATTTTTGTATAATATTGTTTTATTATTTTAAACTACCTATTTATTTTTTCATTTCAGTCATATTCTATGGAAATTTATATTTTATTGTACAAAATCATGATATTATCATATATCTACACATACAAAATGCTGACCAGATATTCATAAGAGTGTATATGTTAATTTAAGTAATCATTATAACTTACATACAAAACTTTTATCTTTGTAAATTATGATATTTTTTTTAATTTCTAATTGGTCATTACAATTTCAAATTATCGATAGTGTTTTCTTCCCACGCTTTCCCTTGTGGTTGCGTCATTATCTCTGTATGTTCAACAAGAATCATGCACAAAAAGTAAGGTTTTAAAAATCCTCATTTGTAATTAAATACTTACAATTTACAAAGTTACTAAAAATAACGAACATATCCTAAGAAAACACCATCATTGCATGGATTTCAAGGTTATGGCCAGAAAGCCTAAAGTTTCAAAAAATCTGACGAAGGCAGCAACAATTTCTATTAATCTCACCAAATTACTGTGTAATTAAATACTTACAAATTACAAAGTTATTAGAAAAAAATACAATATCACAATTCAAAAGTTTTTTAAATTAATGCTATATTATTTTATTACATAATTAAATTTTTTAGTTCTATTTAAAATTAACACCCCTTGTTCCACGGGTTGTAACCTAGTTCATTTATAAACAAAGCTATATATCCTAAAAACAAAACTCACATTTAGCTTAGTTTGTTGAGACGCGTGTCTTTTTCTTGAAGGTCTTGTGTTTAAGTTCCATCATAGAAATGTATTGATTTGGTTAGAATGTCTTGATTTTTACATAAGAGACCCAACTTATTGATTACTATTATTTTATTCAACCTCTTTTTTATAAGGCGTTTTTGTTTTCTTCGGGACCTATATAATGTGTGCACCGACCTGTGTTCATGGGATATGGTTGTGTTAAAAAATAAACCCCGCATAGTCGGGTTTCGTGATGATGTAAAAAATTAGAATGCCGAGGTGGACTGTGGATAATGGGTATAATATATATAGTTTAAAAATGGTGCATATGACGTTGGGGGTATGGTATTCCCATGGAAAATGGTTCGTATGTGTGCGGCATTAAGTTGGCAAGTTGATGATCGTGGTGTTTAGGATAGTGTGTTAGGACATGTGATCTTTCTTTTTTTTTCATAAGAGAATATATATATATATATATATATATATATATAGATGAATGATCATTTGAGAACTCAAAGTTTTCCGAGAACCCGAAAAATAAAGGCGGAGCGTTAGATTAAATATTTTGATGGCTAGGATCAATGACATATTTGTAATTGTGAATAAATATAATGGTATATGAGGTTTTTTAAAAAGTTCATAAGGGCAAACACGGTAATAAAAACTATTGATCCTAAAAATTATTTTAATTAAATACCATTAAATAAAGAAAAAATCCCCAAATTCTCTCACTGATCCCTCGTCTTCTTCACTAGGTTCATTCATCTCCAACTCTCTTTCTCTATCACACACATACATACACACATCTTCATCGATATACCTTTGAGATCGTGGTTCATTGCACATCCGTCGCCGTTAATCTGTATCTGGTTCGTCCAACGCCGGTTGTAGATCTTCAAGGCATCGCTGCTACTATTCATCATTGACTGTGAAATCACCAGTTCTTCTTCAAGGCGCCAGTAAATCACCGGAGTCCTAAATCGTTCGTTAATGAATATTTACGATACAATCACAATTATCGTTGATCGCCTTCTTTTCTGATTGCATCTCCAATCGCCACAGATTTCTTTACTCTTCCTTTATTTCTTTCGGAAATCCTTCATCAAGTTTAGGATTAGTTATGGAAATATGTTCCCCCAAAACAATTTTTTCTCAGCTTCATTCGTCTCCTTCTTTTAATCGTCAAACATTGTTTACTTAACCCTCGATCTGTGTTCGACAAGATTACTTAACTTAAGGATGCCCTCAAGCTGTTCGATGAAATGACACAACAGTAACCTTTGCCAACAGTTGTTGAATTCACTCAGTTGTTGCAAGCTGTTACCAAAACGAAACACTATTTTTGTTCGATTGAGCTTTTTAAACAAATGGCCGATCTACGTTCAATGATTGAAAATCACTGGTTATTGATCTTCAGCTTAATCGGAAGTCTTCATTATTTGAACCTTATCGATTTGTTTTGACTATTTGCAAGGTATTTCTGATTTCTTCAACACAATAAAATTCTTCCAGTTTAATCTCTTCATACGATTTTATCACACCTGTTGCTAGGATTTAATGATCTCGAGCCTGACGAATTCATGGTGAGTTAAATTACTGTCACTATCGATCGTGTGTTTATAAATATTTTTTTCAAAAGCTGATTTCTCAGAACAATTTGTGTTTCTTTTGAAGGAAATTACTAAGATCTTGAATAAGTACAAATCAGATCTTGCAAGACCTTTCGATGAAGCAATCACCTTTTTGAACAAACACAACTCAAATGATTGAAAGGTCAGGAGTTTGTGTTGCATCTGATATATGGAGTGTTGGTTGCATTGTAGTCAAGCTACTTACTTGTGTGCCTCCTTACTATGATCTTCAACTCATGTCAACTCTCTTTAGGATCGTTTAGGTATTCTATCATTGTTATTTTTACTTGTGTACCTCCTACTTGTTCTTTTCCTTTAATCAATAGCAAATATTTCCTGCTGTTTCATACCAATTTGGGAGTTTTTGCTAGGATTTTACTTGTTATGATTTTGTGTTTTTTCATTGGTGGTTGAACCGAATAATAATCATTACTTTGAGATTTTTTTATCATTATCAGCGAAAACTCGAAAGGAAACAATTAGTTTACATTAGAAAAGTATATTATGGTATAATCTACTCTAATTTTAACTTTTCTCTTATTGCAAATAGCAATTGTATCAATTATTGGAATCTTGGTCATCATATGTATGTATGTATAAATCTTTTGTGGCTTTCTTTATGATCTAAATTACACAATCTAGCATATTTGTAGGAAATCCAACATATATAACTTCTAGATCAGGTTCTTAATCTTCCCTAACCTTAACAATTAAGTAAACATCATCATTACAAACAAGCTCCTACAATGAAATACGCTTTTGTTCATTTTTTCCTAGACATAGAAACCGATCAAACTACACGTGCCCACCTTTTTGCTCAATATTTTTTATTTTTCAACTCTCATCTTTTTACATGATATTACTAAATTTCCAGGATATATTCACATGTGGATATTACATGATATATTCACGTATGAATATAACATAACATATACACATGTGAATCTTAATTTTGGGAACAATATATAAAAAATTGTCTCAAGTTCTAGTTTTTTCATTATTTTTATGCAATATTCAAGTCTATTTTGATATATTGTCATTTAGTTTATTTGAATACTTTTATATAGTTCATCTAAATACAATGTTAAGCTCTTGATCTCTCTTTTAGTTGTTATACTCTTCATCTTTATTTGATTTGATCACAAGCTTTCGATCTCTCTGTTAGTTGTTATACTTGAATTCTTTTTGTTCACAGCATAATAACTTTTGAGCATTTGAATTATATGTGATTCACATGTAAATCACATGTGATTCACATGTAAATCACAAGTGAATCACATATGAATTACATGTGATTCACATGTAATTCACATATGAATCACATGTCATTCACATGTAAATCACACGTGAAGCACATATGAATTACATGTGAATCACAAGTGAATCATATATGAATGACATGTGATTCGCATGTAAATCACAAGTAAATCACATATCAATTATATGTGATTCACATGTAAATCACATGTAATTCACATATGAATCATATGTAATTCACATGTAAATCACAAGTGAATCATATATGAATCACATGTGATTCACATGTACATCACATGTGAATCACATGTAATTCATATGTGATTCACATATGAATTACATGTGATTCACACGTGAATAACATGTAATTCACATATCAATCATATGTAATTCATATGTAAATCACAAGTGAATCATAAATGAATTATATGTGATTCACATGTAAATCTCAAGTGAATAACATATAAATTACGTCTATATGCACACATGTATTTTTGTGGGTGTTTGTGCATTAATCAAATTTTTTCTTAATTTTCTTGTAGATTTGGAAGAATGCGTGGAAAATATTGAAAATGTGAAAAGTGATACATTGAAGAAAATATGGAAATCTTGACACGAATACGCTTTGAAATTTTGTAGCATTTTTTGTTTTTTTTATATTTTATTTTGTATCGAATAAAATACATGTACTTTTATGCTTATAGATTAGTAAATAAAAATGGTTTTTTATTTATTATCTACATACGAATATTATCGTATAAGAAATATGCATATATGAACTTGGAAACTATATGCATATATGAATTTAAAGCATTGATTTTTTTGGTTAAAAAATTATAGTTTTTTTTTCAAATATTCCAGTTTTTTTTTTATTTTATTTTTTTACTGATTTTTAAAAATTTACTGTTTTTAAAAAATATATTTTTTTTCAATTTTTTAAAAAAAATTCATGTTTTCTAAATAAAATTAAAAAAAATCTGCAAATTTTTAAAAAATCAAAAATTATTATTTTAAAAAAATCCGAAAATTTTATTTATTATGTTAATTTTTAGACATATTTATGAATATTTCCAATAACACAAAAAATTAAACATTAAATGAGATTGGTAAGATGATGATCATGTCCTTAATGAGTTACTTTTGATCTAACGCTCCACCTTTAGTTCTCGGGTTCTCGGGAAACTATGAGTTCTCAACCGATCTCACATCTGTGTGTGTGTATATATATATATTATATATATATATATATATATATATATATATATATATATATATATATAGGCTTAGGTTATTTTATTTAAAGTAATTATTGTGTTATTGTATGCATAAATGTGAGCCAATCATTTTACTTATTTTAAGAAAGTGATTAATACATATTATTGAATTAAATATAATTGAAAAATATCATCCAATTTAACTAGAAGAGTATTTTAGTCAATTAATATAGATTTAATAAAGGAAATTTGCATATTTTAAGGGATCATAGATTCTATTAATTTTAAAAATCCGATTTTTACTAATTATAAGGTTTTTAATTCGGACATTCTGACAGAATATGTTCAAAAATAAAAATATTCTAGAACAATAAAATAATAAAAATATTCTTGAACATATTTCTTGATCATGACTTTAAAAATTTCTTCTAGAATAACAAATTCTCGAACCAGCAATTGAAGAATTAAAAAAAAAAATTACATTAATTCTTATAGAATACATGTAACAATTGTTAAAAATTACATTTATTGTTAAAGAATAAAACTAAAAAACTTTCAAATCGGGAAAAAAACATCAAAATCTAACAAATACACTAATTTATTCTAAAAGAATAATGTTGCTAAGAAACACTTTTAATTTTGTTGTACGTTCTTCAAACATCAACTTCTTCAAGCATCAACTTCTGTGAAAACAAATCCAATTGTAGTTTAGAATCCAATAACGCATTAGCAAATGATAAATAAAAAACTATATTCCTTTGGAAAAATATGCATACTTGTTAACTGCACCAAAACCAATAACCAAAAATTGCATGTATAATCAATGAGAAAATATCAATATTTCATTCCAACAGAATTAGAATTCGTGTTTCCATTCCGATAGAATTTGAATTCGTGATTCTATTCCGATAGAATTGGAATGGTATAAAATACCCAAACCGAAATCAGAACAGAAATCAAAAGCATAATCTATTTGAAAAGAAATAAGAGCGAACGCCACATCAAAAATTAAATCACAGTAATATAATAACAATTTAGCAAACATATGAAATCAGAAATTCAGAATAGCATAGAATCGGAAAATAATCAACATCAAAAAATTATCAAAATACAGCAACATCAAAACTTAAATCACAGCAACATCAAAAAATTCATATCAATTACCAAACATCAGATTTGAGTTCTTTTTGGAGTTGCCAACATATATTGAGAAACAAGAACATAGATTATGCGATGAATATGGAGGTGTTTCTGAATTGAAACAGGTTGTTGATTTGGAACTGAATTGGACGCAGGTTCTCAAGGAATTTAAGAGTGAATGGTCCTTTGGGGATAAAACAATCGTTTGAAGCGAACAAGAGGAAGAAGAGAAAGAAAGGTTCCCGGAGAAATAGTTTCCGGCGAAATAAATATCAGTAAGAGTGGAAATCGACATGCGATCAGAGAGGTTGAGTGTACCGGAGAGATACCCACTGGTGAGATTGACGACGGTGACGCGGCTATCTTTCGAACAAACCACCCCCGCCATGAACACGCCGACGACGTCGATGTAGACGTCCGGTCTGATAAAACACCGTTTGTATCAAAATCAACCGACGATTTCTTGAACGACAATAGTCTCTGAACATCGTCTTCTTGACTCATAACCAAAGCAGAACAAGAAAAAAAAGACTGTCTTTTTCAAGATCAACTGCAAAAAAATCAAGGGTGTGAGGCCGATTTATGAAGGGGATAAATTTAGGGTTAGAAAAAGTCAATTAGATATAAACCTGGAGAAATTAGGTTAAAAGTCAATACCATGATTATAGGGATTATTTTTGGAAGTTATCAATCATATTACTAAATTACCCTTATTTATTTATTTAATTATTTAATTTTTTATTTAATTTTGATTGGCCCACATTTATGCATACAATAACACAATAATTACTTTAAATACCTGAACCTAGCTCTATATCAATTATTTAATTTCTAAAAGATTGTGATTAATATTAAATTGATATACAATAAATAAAAATGGCTCCTCAGTTAAAGATAACGAATGAATAAGGGTATACGTGTACATTGTCCTCTCCATTAAAATAGGAAACTGAATATATTGATGAAAACTACCCGCATAATCCCTATAACATCGCATACACCCGGATTCCACTACCCTCTGTATCGGAACACAAAATCAAACTATATCTTCTCTACTCAACCCAAAAAGCGGTAGATTCTGTTGTATATGTTATATAAAGTGATCGATTCTTGAAGATTATTCACAGAAATTGCGTTGTGATCGTTCGAAGTAAAAGAAATTGCAGTGCAATGAGGAGTACAAGGACGACTTCTTTCAAATCGAAGTTTAAGAACACACAAGAAACAGTGTTGAATCTAGATGAAGACGATGCTGATTTCGTCGCTCCGCCTATAGGTAATCTTTTTTTTTTATAAGTTTTTTTTAAGGTAATCGTTTGAATACACAACATTCTTTTGGAATGTTCTACCAATGAAGTATTTGCATGTGGTTTTTTAGTTGGTTTAAGTAAAATAGAACGAAATAATTTAAAAAGGGGGTATTTTTTTATTATGGTTTTATGAAATTGGGGATTTAAAACCCGATAAAATTTTTGGATTTTATGTAACACCCAAAAATTCAAGCCAATTTAAACTTTTAAAAACATTTCAAACCAGTAAAAATCATTACAACTTTGTTTTCAAAATGCATAATATCAGAGTATCCCAGAAACATAAACATAAATATGAGGAGCTGTACGATCACGCCTTCGCCTTGCCGCGATCCCCTGATGTACCTGAAACAATAAACTGAAACTGTAAGCCCGAGGCTTAGTGAGTTCCCCAAAATACCAATACACTGCACATAATACATATACCAATAACAACATGTACTGGGTCCACAGCTTTACAGACTGGAATACCCCTGGGCCCACAGTGTGAGTCTGGATTGCCTACCGGGCCCACAACTCACATCTAGTTTGCCATCGAGCCCACAGTACGAGTCTGGATTGGGCCCACAACTCGTATCTGGAATGCTCCTAGGGTTTGTTGGTCACCGCACAAAGCAGTACATCCTCAACCCATCCCACATAACATATCAACATATAACATAACTACTGAGCATGCATATAATCATATAACAACACAGGTAGTCCTACAGATCTACCTAACTGGATAACCACTAGCATGCAACACTAATTCATACTCAACTTCTAACACTGCTAGGATAACATATCCAATGGGCCGGCCTTGGTGCCTTAGACCCCTTAGTATAGTGAGGTAACTCACCTCGCAAGTGCCGTCTGAAACTAGAAAACTCAACTCCCGGATCACCAATACGAACTCCACCACCTATAATTACCATAAAACCCTTTTTCATAAATTTCCAAATTACCAGAATACCCTTAGAAGTCAACTGGTCAACTCTTGGTCAAAGTCAAAGTCCACAGTCAAAGTCAACAGTCCATGTTGACTCGACTCGCCGAGTGTAGTTCGCCGACTCGTCGAGTCCTTCCTGAACTCGAGAAGTCGTGAAATCCTTGATTGGCTCGTCGAGTTCCCCTTTAACTCGCCGAGTTCATACGTGTCCAAGAAATGGGAGAAACCTTAGCCGACTCGCCGAGTCTATGAACGACTCGTCGAGTTCAAGGCAATCTTCAACGGGCTCGCCGAGTTTGTTCATCAACTCGACGAGTTCATGACCATATTCATAAGACACGCCGAGTTGACTATGCAACTCGCCGAGTCCTTGCAGACCTTCATCCATGCATACACTTTTTAAGTCATGCCAAGGTTCCAGATTACAGATCCAAGCTTCTAAGGCATGATTATCACGTAAAGTTGCAAACTTTACACGCATGCAAGGCCTTAAAGGCTCTAAATGACCATTCTAAGCTTCTAATGGAGCTTTACACCTTATGAGGGTCTCATCCTTGCAAGAACTGGAAACTTTATGGACTTAGGACTCAAAAGAGGTTCAGATCTGAATTTTCAACTTCAGATCTAGCTCCCATAACAAAAATCCCTTCAAGCATAACAAAAGAAAGCCCTAGTTTCCACAATATGAATGATTCTAGAAGAAAAAGAGGTTAAGGTAACAGCTCGTTACCTCTAAAACGTGCCCAAACTGAAGTAGAAGCTGGATCCACACATAAATCTTGATGTTAGCCTCTTGATCTACAAATTCCTTCACAAAAGTCACTTCCCAAAGCTCCAAAACACTCTCCAAGCTCTAACTCACGGAAATTAGGGTTTCTGGGTCTCAAGGGGTGATAGAGGACAGTGGGAGGCGCTAATGGTCCATTATATAGGGTTCAAAACCCTGAAACTTAGGGTTTCTACTGCCAGCTCCTACTCGTCGAGTCCCCCATACTGACTCGACGAGTCACTCATTAATTGACGTGTCTCGGCCCGCTGCTACTCAACGAGT